TTTTTTTTTTAAAGAGAGATTTTTGCTACAGGGTAGTGTGCTGACTGGAGAGACAGACAGAGACAGAGAGACAGAAAGTGAGAAACCATCCTCCTGGGGAGAATGGGCACACTGCAATCTCTCCTCCTCCATTCCACTCTCGGGATCTTGGGCACACATGCACCCATACCCAGCGTGAGTTTTAAGCCACCAGATTTGGGACTTGAACTGCAGTCATTTGTGTTCGAGTCCAGCATCAACTCAGTCTTAGCAAGTCACATGAGGAGCATGCATACATGAATCTAACGTGCTTGCGGGGTAGTCCCAGGATGTGAATTCAGGACTTGGCACATGGGTCCAATTGTATTGCCACTTAGTCACTCTCTGGACCCATTCTTCAAAGCGCTCACAGCAATGCTTTTTCCTATAGGAGGAAGACATGCAGATTTTGCCTATTAATAATGCCCAAGGCAGCTGTATAAAGAGAAATTTATTGTGCTCACTTAAAAATAATTATATGTCCATTCTTGGTCTTGTACATTACAGAAAATAAACTAGCTTCATTAGTGTCACCAAGAAGACTTGTTAAAAGTGAATATTATATGGTCCTATTCTAACTAAATAAATCAGATTTTTATCTTTAAAAACCTTTGATTGACTGTAACAAAATAAAGAAAAAATAATAATTTTTTTCATTTTTTTATTTCATTTTCTTTTGTATATTCAATCACAGTATTTTGCTTACAAAGTGAATATTTCAACAGGTTAACATTTTTCCCTAGTCCAGTTGATAAAACTATAAAATATCTTCAACAGATAATACCACATTTCTTTGTCCCATTAATGCTTTGCCTCCCTATTTTTCTTCTAAATGTCTTTCCTCAGACCCTACCTCTACCCGTAGGTTTTATTCAAGTTAAAGTTTTAAAATCACCTCACAATTGATCATTTATACAGATAAAAAGGCTTCAAGTGAAAGTTGCTAAAAAAATAAAAAAGTCATTTTTACTGAGGGTTCTGTAAAGTACTGGCAGACCTTCTAGTAATGCTAAGGTTCCAGCCTAATCAAGTATAGCACAAAATGGGAAAGAGGCATTTTAGATGCTTATATCCAGGGTATCTCTCATTAGAGAGTATAGGTAGAGAACAACCCTAAAAATAAGTTGAATTTATTAATAAAATAATGTTAAAATAAACACACATATGTCATATCATAGAGCCTTAAAAATGCACCTGCTCTCTCTTGGTTTTGGTTGAGGCTCCAATACTGAGAAACATAGCTTGATGTCAGAGTAGCTTTTCAGAAGAGAATAAAAATATTATGCTATTTTTATGTAGTCCTGTACCTGGAGAGTTTAAAAATACAAATATTTTATTCATGAATCGGAGCTAGACATTCTTTAGAGAGAATTGATGGTGTTCTGGGTGCCAACTGAAACCAAATGAGGAGATTTCAAGAGGAACAGTGGAGATCCTGACGTGCACTGAGAGATCATGGAAAGAGAAATTTCTCCCTGACTGCAGACCAATAAAAAGGAAGGCTACCCTGGATACTGGCTATATCTCCTTCTAAAGCAGAACATTAGTTGTTTCCTTTCTATAACACACAAACCCATAGAAAGAAACCAGATTGGAGTTCATTAAAAAACAAAAAATAAAAATAAAGAAACAAAAAACAAATGGGACCAGCAGTTGGCATAATCTCTAAGTTGCTGGACTCCCATGTAGTCACTGTGGTTCGAGTCCCAGATCCAGTGGCTTAAACTCACTCCAGACGTGTGTGTGTGTGCGCGTGCCCAAGATCTTGAGAGAATGGAGGAGAAGGGATTGAGGCATGGCCATCCCCCCTGGGGGTGATTTCTCGATTTCTGTCTCTGTTTCTCTCTGTCTTTCTGACAAGCACATGCGCCCTATAGCAAAAACCTCTCCAAAAAAAGAAAAACAAACAAACAAACAAACAAAACAAAAAACACTTTCCTAAAGGACTTACTGGAGAAATACCATAACTCCAACAGAGTGAACACAGCAAGAGTCAAGGCAAGAGAAGACTCAGAAATTACTGGCAGGAAGAGATAGCCTACAGTCAGTGTTAGGCAAACGGTAGCAGAAGGTAGTAGAAGATGCTATAAGATGGTAAGACGAACCTCTGAGGACCGAGCCACGTTGTGCTGGAGATGGTGGGGCAGCCCTCAGTTTCTATTCCACTCTGCCTTTAGTGTGCCTCTGTACTACACAATGGAAAATGAAACTACATTTCCCAGACAGCACGGCTTCTCAGTTGTAGATAAAATTTAGGTTTGACCAATCAAATGCACTTGTGTGGGACAATGAAAGCAAAAATAGGTCAAATATCTGTCGGTTCTGGGGTTTCTGCTGCCATGCACAATGGCAGAAGCCCTAGTTTTTCTGTTCATACTGGAAAAATATCAGTCACTGAGTGATGGATATCAAGAGGGAAGAGAAGTGGGTTATCCATTTGCCATTGTCATATATTTTCTGGAGCCTGACTAGCTTCCTAAATGTGATAGGTTTCAGCTATTATGACTCCCGATTGGAGCCATGGTGGTGCAGGCATTCTCTGTATTAGATAAATCCCCACTCTGTTGTCCTGCTTCCTGTAATTGATGACTTTAGGAGACATTCCTCAAGCTATTTCTTCCGCTTTCCTTATCCTCTAGATAATAAAACTACTAGTATCTTCTAATTCTTTTTTTTTCTTAAAATGGCTAGAGAGGTGGACATTGCTTTATAGAATGGAACACTAACTGCTGTAGGCAGCAGGCACTCAGAGACTTGGTGGTGATATTGGTTATCTCTCTGGCTGCTTTTGAAGTCACGAATGTCCACACGATCATTAGAAAATGAAGACTGGTATTTCTATAAAGCATGATTGCAAAACTGTTTAACTAGCTTGTACTGCTGAAATAAAATAGCTATTGAAGACAAGTTTTGGGGGACTGATATAATAGATTACCATGACAAAAAATTAATATAAGGATACTATCTTAAGGTGACAACTATGCTGGAGAAATCAGACACATAGACTAAGTCTAGGGCATAGAGAAGCCCAGCACTTTTAAAAAGAGCAAGGAACAAGCTTCAGACTTGAGGTCCTGTGACTGCTCTTACATTCCTATCGCTGGTCATGTGAGTGGCTGGGATAACACAGACTTGCTTTGTTTTTTATGTGAGAATTAAGACTCTGTTTGAAAAAGATAAAATTGGAATGCTGGCATTAGAGTCTGTTTGGATAACTTCAAATGCCTCAATCTTTAAATTCTTCCTGAAACTTTCTGTATGAAATTAATCGTCCACAGCCTCCATCAATTCTGCCTTGTTTGGAAAAACTGTGATGACCACACATGAGGTAGTCTCCTCTTACGAAGATGCCAACAATCTTCATTCTCCACTCTGTAGTATTTTGTAGGGCCTAAAACCAGGTAATGGAATCATACCACATGCTGGCTCAGAGGGCACAGAAGTGATGTAATCTACAGAGAGCAGGCAAATATGCCAAAGAATTACAAGCTTGTGGTCATTTATATCAGAACAAATGCAACAAATATTTGTGGGAAAATGGTTCTCAAAATGAGGCCGAACTTTGTGAAATTCAATATTACAATGGGCAAAATTACTGGTCTGTGTGACTTTACTATAGAAATTTTCAAACTTGATATTTCAGCTTGAGAAGCGAGAAACAGTTCTAACTTTTCCTCCTTTGGTACTGAATGTGGACTCAAAGATAGCCCCATCTTAAGTCAAGTCGACATACTGGAAACAATACCATCCTCTTTGAATTTGCTCCAGAACGCTGACTCTTAGAGTGCCAAGCTTAGAATGCCAAGCCATAGGGAAGAAGCTCTGCTTTATAAGCATCTTGGTCTTTATAACCCGTAGATTCTATGTTGTTCAAGCCTGTGGCATATCCTGATTAGAGAATCATTCCAAAGTCCTCTAGCATTTTGAACCAAAGCCAGGCATGCTCTCTTTGACAAATATTTAGTCTCATTTTGAGAGAGAACTTCTGACTTCCAGTTAGCAGTAGACATTAGTTTCTAAAAGCATTGATTCTGGAGCCAAATTTTGTCATTTGAAAACCTGACTTCTCTTCTTATTAGTTTATAATCTTGAGCAAGTTAGTTAATTAATCTGTGCTTCAAATTTAGCATCTGTAAACTGAGGGTTCTATTAGAACCTACCCAATAAGGATTTTGTAAAGACTAGATGCATTCATATGAAACTACAGATTTTCCTACTATGCATTCCACTGTGAATTTTCCTGCACCAGATGACAGGCAAAACTTTAGGTTTGTTCTTCATGTTCTTTTTCTCCTCTACTCAGTCGTTGATCTATGTGAAATTTGTTTTATGTAACTTGATAATCTGTAATATCTTGTTATTTCTTCAGATAGCAAGCCTATAATCATCATCTTTAGCCTCCATTGCTGTAATGGCCTTAAAACAGGCTTCTTCTTTTCTACCTTCACCATCTCCACTATGTCCTGATCACAATAACCAGGGTGATCCTGTTTAAAGTGAGATCAGATTAGGTCAGTTCTCTTTTCAAAACCCTCTAGGAGTGCCTATTCTGTTCACAATTATAGGAAAGTTATGACAACTCTCTGTGAGAGAGGCCCACAAATCTGGGCCTGTGTGACCTCTTGGAACATTTTCTTCATTTCTTTACTCACTTCAGTTAATCCCTGAACTTGAACACCAGGCACATACTTTCCATATAGGACCTTTCTCTCAGCTGTTTTCTCTACCCAGAATGTTCTTCTGAATAGCCATATGATTAACTACCTCATTTCCCATAAGTCTTTTCTCAGCTATCATCTTCAGAATGAGAGAACAATAAACCATCACACTGAAAATTTGAACTTCCCTTTTCCCTCCAAACCTCACAGTCACCTTCTATTTTTCTATTTTTCTGTTTGGTTTTTATTTTAGTTTGTAAGGTTTTTGTCATATGGTATGTGTGGTAAGTTTTTTGTCATATGGTATGTGTGCTTGCTGGTGAGAATTAGAGAGATAGTGAGAGGGAAAAGGAGAAATCATCCCTAGGGGGGCAGGGGATGGCCACACTACAATATCTTCACTTCCATTCTCCTCCTGGGATTTTGGGAATGCACACACACACATGCAGTATGATTTTTAAGCCACCATGTCTAGGACTCAGTGCGGTCAGCCATGTGGGAATCCAGCATCTTAACTGCCACACCACCTACTGGCCCCTTTTCTGCTTAATTTTCAAAACACTTACCATTCTTCATCATCACATTATTCTTATTAACTATTAGATCGTCAGGAAAGTCATGACATATTTTTCTATGTTTTTCTATGCAAAAATGCATTATGATTTCCCCAAAGACTCAATATATTTATTTATTTATTTTTTCCTCAATAAGATGTGTGTTCCATATGAAAAGTTATTTGGTTGGTTTACATTAACCTTACTGTAGTGTTTAAAAGAATGTCTGGTATAAAATGGTCACTTAGCTAATGATTATCTAATGATTGAATAAGGATCAAATAAGTGAAAGTATATGTAGGGCTTAATCCATTTACGTGCCATAGGGAATGCCACATAACTGTCAGCTATTATTATAATTACTATTCCTAATTATCTCTGGCATAGATTAAACTATTGACCATCACACATCAGATGAATACCCCACATGTATCCTAAGTTGGTTGTCCTCCACTGGCTGTGGTTTAACTTGGGCTTCCCCTGTAGCTCTGCTTCGGCAAAAGGATGAGGGCAAGTTTTATGATCAGAAGGTTCACAGTTGTAACAGATTCATGCCCATAG